CTCCAAGAATCCTGGAACTGGAGCCTTCGGAGGAACCCAAAGACCATTTAGTCCAGCCGCCTGCAAATGCAGGAGATGGACGGCCGATGCGTCCCTGAGTGATGGCCCTGCAGCCTCTGTTTAAAATCCTCCCATAAAGCAAGAGGTGACCCTGTTCGTCTGGGCTAGCTTGTCAGGCAAAGCCAAAACAGAAATAAATAATAAAGAGGAAGTGGGCTTCTTCATGACAGCTTCTTCTTCTTCTTTTTATTATTATTATTTATTTATTTATTATTGTTGTTGTTGCTGCTGTTGCTGTTCTTTGGTTTTTGCCTGGTACTCCTGTGAAGGAGAGTCCCCGGCCCTCAGAGCTTGTCCGTTCCCCAAGGCTGAGCTTCTTGTGGTTTGCAGTGGAATCAGCAATGGAGGCCGGGGCAGTTCCTGTAGTGGAAGATGGGGCAACGATTCCGTTTCCCAGTGAGAGGATTAAGAACTTCTGGAGGTGTCTGGAGGAGACCTTGGGATGGGTGTGCGTGGGGGACAGCCTGTCCCTACCCCCCCACCCCTGAGTGGCCTCCATCGTGCTTCCTGCCTCTAAACCTTCCTTTGACAGCAAACCGAAACCCAAATCTTCCAAACGGTGGTGAAGCCAGCCCACTGGTTAAAGCAAAACAACCACGTTTGCCAAGATGAGGCTTGGGTCTTCGTGGAGCTCAACGGAGACGACGGCCAGAGCTCAGAGTGGGAGTAGTGTGCAGCCCTGAGGGCCTGTTGCGGCTGGGAGAGCCAAGGGCCTGATGCCTCGGTGTATGTTTCTCTCTCTCTCCTCTGCCGTCTCGGTGGACTCTCTCTCTCTCTCTCTCTCTTCTCTGCCCTCTTGGTGAGTCAGATAAAGGTCTAAAATGTCCCGTGTGCCTGCTGGAATTTGAGGAGGACGAGACAGTCAGGAAAATGCCCTGTCAGCACCTGTTCCACGCCGGCTGTATTCTTCCTTGGCTTGGAAAGGTGAGAACTGAGGACCAGAGGTGTCCCCTGGCCCCTTGGACGCGGAGGCCGGCATCGGCTGTCGGCCCCAACGCAGAGGCAAGCTTCTGAGCCCTACAGAGCTCTTTGTCAGGCTAGCTGGTAAAAAACCAGGGAGTGTGGAAGAGTCTGGGTTTGGTTTAGCTCCCTGGGGTCCCTCCAACCAAGAGGGTTCTCGATCATGGCGCCGATGCTGACTTCCCTCTCCTGCTCCAGACCAACTCCTGCCCCCTCTGCCGCCACGAGCTGCCCACGGATGATGAGCAGTATGAAGAATACAAGAAGGACAAGGTGAGGGCTGGAGGCTGTGGGTCGGCCGGGAACTGGGCTCGGGCCTCTTCTGTTGGGCTGGCCGGTGAGAAAGCCCCACCTCTGCCTGCGCCCAAGAAGGAGGTGTAGTGACACACACACACAAACCCCCAAGAGCTGGGGGTGGGAGGCGCTCTGGCCGGTTCCCGGGGAGCCCAGCCCTGGGGGTCCACTGCCCGTTCCAGTCGGGCTGGGGAGGAAAAGCTGTCTCGTGTGGCAGCCGTGGCCCTTGAAGGCGGCCACCTGGAGGAAGGTGGGATGGCACGTGGCGTCCGTCGTCCTCTGCTCCAGCTGCCGGAGGGGCCAATGGGCTGGATTCTGTGGCTCTGCCTGAGAAAGGGCAAAGGTGAGGGAGCCCTTCAGGGCCAGGAAAAATCCTCGTCACCAACACGTAGGAGAGTTTGATCAGGTAGAGGTTAGAAGCGTTGCTCAGCCAGAGAGGCAGAACCGGCGGCCAACTCCCCTTGGGGAAGGTCCTCCTTCATGGTGTGGAGTACGGTGTGGAGTACAGGTTGTTTTTTTTTTTTTAAAAAGAAACCACACAAATAAGGAAGAAGGCTCCCTTTTGGTGTCTTGCTTTAAGATTACAATTCTCTTTCCCCCTCCCATTAGGTGGGGGGCAGGCAGAGTAAAGTCTGTGCTGAGAGCCCCCCTTCTGTGGGCCCTTCATAATTACTGGAATAAAGCGGCATGATAGTGACATTGGTTCTTGGACGAGGGAGCGCTCGTAACAAAAATGATGGTGCTGTTTTCTATTAGGGTTTATATGTTTTGGGGGGACATGCTTTGGATAGGGCTGCCCTTGGGGCAGCTACAGAAGCCCTTCCCCCAGGGATTCAAGAGCCCCGCCTCCTTTTGCATTCCAAGAAATCCCGTGTCTATCTCCACTTCTGTTGTCTCAAAGGTGCGACGGCAGCAGCAGGCACACCGGCTGGAGGGCCTGCACGGCGCAATGTACACATGACCACCCGTCTGCCTCTGCTAGGGATGCCTGGAGCCCTGCCTGCTCCCGCCACCCAGGGTGTCCAGCGCGGCCTCTTCTATGCATGCCAGGGACCAGGGTGCCCTTGGGGCCAGGGAGAAGCTGCGGCCTCCACCCCCCTCTTTCCTCCCCTTCCCTGATCCAGGTCATCTGTTGCACAGCAAGAATAAATATGCCCCCCCCATGGCTCAGCATCGCTTCTCTGTCGGGCATCATCGTCGTTCCGCGAGAGCTAAGGTTGCGCTTTGTGGCAAGTTCTCCTCAGGGAAAGGAGAGGAATCGGGTGCAAAGGTGGTGGTGGCCTCGGCCTCGGGAGACGGCAGTGCAGAAGTAGCTTTCCTGCCTTGGTGCAGGCAGAAAGACAGAGCCAGGTGGGCCAAGGGCCTGGGCTGCCAGCCCGCTTTCAGGGGGCTCCACAAGCCGTGGCTGGTTGGGAACAAGCGGGCATACCTGGGCCGGGTCCCTTTTTTGTCCGGCTGGTGTGGCCACTTGGTGGTCAGGCAGTGAGGAATCTCCTTCACTTGCTTCTGGCCACTGTGGGCAAGAAGCATGGTGTCACCTGTGTGTGTGTCGGCAGGAGTGCAAAAGGGCAGGTCTTGAAGCAGATACCCACCAAGCGACCCTGCGGGCAGGCTCCAAAGAGCAGCGAAACCGCTTCACCCTTCTGGCCGTTGGCCCTTGGCGCTCGTGACACCTTCCCTCTCTTCAGGGCCAAGCTGTCTCCGCCTGGCTAATTTGAGGAACAGCGACCTTGAGGTTTGTAGATGGGAACAGGTGGACACCGCCCCACAGAAAGTGGGTCAGAGGATGTGGGGCACAAGGCTGTTCAGCCACAACGACTGTGACCCATGCAGGCACCAGTCCTGGGGGGTGTGGGGGAGCCCCAGCCTCAGGGAAGAAAGGGCTGTGTTGGAGAGCAGGAGGAGCCCCCTGGCCTTGCTGCTGAAAGGTGGAAGACTTTTCCTAAGGAAGACTCGCATGCGCGCATGCGCGCACACACACACCCAGGGGAGGAGGTGACCATGTAGGCAGTAAGCACCCCTTGCCCATTTTTAAGCACAGGGTGTGTGTTTTATTCTCACCTTTGCTTGGAAAAGAGGACAAGGTCAGAGTCTGCCCATTGTCGGGTTGGGGGCGAGTGGGTCCCGAGATCAACCAGTTTGATCTGCTGCCGCCGTTGCAGAGATGGTGGTATTAAAAGTACGCAGCTGGTGGTGGGCGCTTCCTGTTTTGTAAAGAAACCCTGGGTGGGGCTGGGCGTTCCCCTCCCTCCAGAAGCTGCCCACTCTGAGTTAAAG